GGCCGCCAGGTGACAGTGTGGCTGGTGCGTCACTTGGCCGAGGAAGCACGCCGGGCAGGGCCACACTCTCCTCCCTCCCCCGGTCCCCTGACTCGTCCCTGGTGGCACTTCTCGAGGCTGGAAGAGAGCAAGAGGGCGAGCGAGGATGGCGTCTCGCGACGGGCCCATGGTGGCGGGCACGGACGGCACGGACTTCATCCACAGGGAGACCGTGGCTTCCCATTACCAGATTAGGTGAGTGTAACGCGATGCCGTCGCCGCTACAACTGAGTATTCCTGGCACCCGGCACCTGGCACCTCCCTGGCACTCTCGCTGCGCCCTCGGCCCGCTGGTCATTCCCGCTGCAACAGTCACTCGATTCCTTTATTTTTTTATTACCACCGTAAAATGATGTCCAAAATGGGGTCTGGGAAGGCAGGGCACGGCTTGCCACCCGCCCCAGCTGCCCGCATGGGGCCCTTGTGTCATGCAGACGTGAGGGGGGGCTGGGGAGGGCACCGTATGGAAGTTATGTAATAAAACCCGTCTAACTCAGAATGGCAGGTTATTGAACCTTATACCATATGTTCAGACTCTCACTATCCAGGGGCGGCTTTCACCTATGAATAAACTCTTATATACTTATTATGAATTCCTTTCTCCCTAATCACCAATTATAGTGGATTGTGAACCCTTCCTGATGAGTTAGATAAAGCTAAACAGCCAATAACTCTTCATCATCCATGCAATAAGGTGACCACATGTAGCTGCCATGTTGGGGCCAGAAATTAACTTGTTGCTGAGAGGTTGGTTCTCCATTCCCTGATTTGGATATTTTTCCTACTTTCCCTTGCGGTTATTTAGATCAACGTGCTTGAGTAATGATTTAGGTAGAGAGCTGTTGTGGCTGTTAGAAGGTGATTTTTAATGAGGGTTAAGTTGAAGAGTGATATTACTAGGTATACAGTTTTCTTTCAAGTTTCATGGGTAAATGTGATTGAAGCACAAATTTCCACCTTTATTCAGTAGACGCTGCTTGAAAGTTATCTAAATACTGTTAGCAATACATACGATGTAGGGAATTTATATGAATTAATGGCAAATGTTTGGAAGACACACCTCCCGGATTGGTATGGCCTCTGCATCTGTCAGTATTTCGGCGAACACCCATCCTCCAGCCGTAGCTAGGGTTTACTACCACCAGAATATTTGTGGCAGTTTTATTGCCTTTTGCCAGGCTCCGAGAATATGGAGGCCTCGACACTTGTTTGACAATGTACCATAGACAAATTTGTTTAATGATAGTAAGCTTTCCATCACAAATCATAGGAAGTTTCAAGTTGACACGGATAACACAATACATCCCATCGCAAAAATGTTTCACAAATTTACTAAATTTACTGATGAGATATATATGTATACACATTGCTTTGATGAAGGGAATGTCATGTCAAATTGTCACAAATATCTATGTAGATTTTCATTGACATGTGAAGACAGGAATGTATTTTCAGTGATGTATTGATAGTAAGGATCTATAGATTACATTACCATTATTTTTCTTTTTTTTTTTTTTTTACTTTTTAGTATTAGTATCATTAGTATTGCACTTACATTCTATGAACTTTTGGTAATTCTTTACAGTATGGAGACATTCACCATAAGCTATATTCCCAACTTCACTTCAAAAAACTTATTCATCAATCTAAGTTGATCAAGGGTTGATGGAGACTCTACCCCCCAATATCCCCTGGGAAACATTGTCTTCACCTCAGTATGCATGGCAAGATTGAGCTGAAACTCAGGAGTACAGTGTGTACTTAGGCTGAGAGTGGCGCTTTCCGCAATCTTTTTCCTTTATTTGTGGTGCTAACATTAAAATTGTTTCCCAAGCAGCAATTTGTTTCCTCAGCAAGAATATCACATTCAGTTTGCCCTAGCTCAGTGCGTCCATACCGTAAAGATTAACCAAACTTTTTTGTTGGAATTTTGATATTTGAACACATAGATAATATCAGTTCCTTGCCTGTGTCTTATTTTTTTCATATTTAGGAAATAGTCAATTCATACTTAAACACAAGTATTTCTTTATGCACCTTCTTTAGTCATGACTTACCAGTACATATTAGATTGTGTACAGTGATTCAGTGTCTTTTGTTGCTCTCCCTTATTTATTATTATTGGGTAGATATTTTCCCACTATCTGTAAGTTAAACCAAGAACCCATTATACTTAAAAAGAAATTAATAGATCATACATACCCAGAACATCACACTTAAGCCTTCGATCATTTGGGAAAAGAACATTAAATGCTGCCGAATATTGTTTGGAATATCCATTGCTATGTACCACAAAAGTATGGCAGTATTTTGAGACCATTCATAGTTGGGTGTTTGCTCTATCAGAGAGCTAAGATCATGTGTGATCTGTAATCTATTTTAAGTTTGTGTTTCTCGATAATCTTTCTTTTTTCTTTCATTTGTTCCATATTATACAAGTTATATCATGGACCCCAGTTGAGGTTTGGGACTTTTGATATGACATATTGTTAGAATGAAATTTAGAAGTAACAAATAATATGTGATATTATTATAAACAATACTTCTTTTTATCAGATTCTCTATGAAAGAGTTCTCTAAGTAAAGACGCACATCCCCTACTGAGTATTATCGATTTTTCATACAAACTTCATATAAATAAAGTGAAGTCAGGCTCAGTTTTGACTTGTTTACAGGAATGGTATGCACTCTCCCCTTGTTACACTAAATCCATATGCTGGTTGGCAAATATCCATGCCATTACACAGTCAAACTTAATGTATATAACCTTCACTTAATTATCAGTTTGTTTTGCCCCGACTCCAGTCATTGACTTGATACAGCCCTTGATAGTAGGCTTGAAGTCTCCTTTTAACATCGGTTTTGAAAAGGTTATAAACATAGGAAGAGTGTACCTGCACAAGCACCCAACAAGTCTCAGTATAGTATGGGTAAAAGCTATGGTCATGTGGTTAAGGCTAGCAAGTAGGCTGATCGACAGACATGGAATCCTCGTAGCAAGTCCCCTGCCTGCTTTTCCCCCCATCTTAACCCATGCTTCTCTTTCATCAGTGTAGTTAGTTGTGTCACCATGCAGTTTAAAAGACTGACAAGATTTACATATATAATTTATTTAGGGATGTATGTGTTTGTGGGTTATGTACATGCATAGATACAAACACATGTATATGTCAACACCATACATGCTGTTTCTGTTCATTGTAATATAAAAGTATACAGAATTATAAGATATGAAAAAAAGCAATGCAGCTAGGTAGTAACAAAAGATACACAAATAAATACTGTACCCATTTCAGTCTGAGAAATCTTTGCTTTTATCAAGAGGGCTAAAGCAGCAATTAGTACCCTATTTTTATACATGGGATTATCTCGTAGAAACAGTTCAAGGTTGTTTGATAACTGCATATGATAAGATATCACTATGCATTTTAATGACATAGGTAATTGTAAGATCTTCAAAATCTAAAAAAAAGATAATATAATGATAATTATCATCTTAATTTTGTACTACAGCTCATTTTAAGAGAAAGAAATAGATTTATAGTATATAAAGTCAAGTGGAAATGAGTTAATACTGGAAACATTATATGCATCCGTCAGCAACAGTGATATATTCTTTTATAGTGATAGTGGTAGTCCATAACTTTTTTATTTTAATCTTGATCATTTAACATTCATGTCTTGTTATGTAGTTGAAAGTAGGTATGGATGCCTTGTATTACACACTATATATATTCATAATGAATGCTAAAGTACTGCATGACCAGCCTGGAGCATCTTCAGTAATCTTTGACAGTCCATCAGACCTTGTTCCTTGATACAATCAATTTAAGCTCGGGGATAAACCCTTCATCGTCCCCCCAGTCAAGAAGGACCAGTAGTTCAGGTAGCTCCTTTGAAGTGTCAGTTGTTGCTGCCAAATCTGTTGAAGTGATGTATACCCAGCGGCCCATCCCTTTGATAATTCCTCTGCCGCAGAGCTTTGGCAATATACCTTGAATATTTGGAAAAGACTTTATAGGTTTTTGTTGGGTTTCAAGATGCTTATACTCCCTCCACCCTTCTTGTTTTATAGATGTTTGAGTTCTGCATTACTTTGTCTTTTTGTCTTATTCATAGTTTTCCATATTTGGAGTAAAGATCCCTCTGTAAGAGATGAATTGTTTTAGGTGAACTAGAATCCTGTAAGATACAGTTGATTCTATATGCATTTTAATTTTGTGTTCATAAAAGAATAATATCCCCTAGGAATTTGACCATTAATTTCTTGTTTTTGTATGTTGATATTGCAACATTAAGAATATTAACAGTTAGAACAAGTATTGATACAAAAAATATTGATTGAATAAATAGACTTTATATCCAAGATGATTAATAATCTTTCAGATTCTCTTAGCTATGAACTAGTAAGAGAATAGGCTACAGGTGAAGGTAACTCACATTATTGTTTGAATCTTACAGCTGGCCTCTCAAGAAGAAAGTGTCAGAAGTGTAAGTGATAAGGCAGGCCCCTGTCATCTCGTTACTGGCCTAATATTACTGTATAGAACTTGCAGACGGATCTGTCTGGCTAAGAGACAGACATCAGAGGACTTTAGGAATTATATGACATTAGATGACTTCAGATTATAGTGTCTGAGTGATATTAGGCCAGTAAGTCCAGGCAGTTAACCTGAGTGTGGTGTAAAGATCCTCCGACCCTCTCTATATTTCTACCTGGGTGTTCTGTGCATGTTCGGTGAGAAGAATTGTTTGCATCAGTGGAATGAAAACTCGACTGTCTTCTTCACTGTGCCAGAGAGGATGGTAGACTTTATGAAGATAAAACTTTCATATTTCTTTCTTTTCAAAATATTGATTTGCTGTTTTATGCTTTGAGAAGTCATGTCTTTGATCAAATCATTAATTTTTTATTTTTAGAAAAACAAAACTCAAATATTACTTGGCAAAAAGTGTCATTAAAGCAAAACAAAGCAAAGAAATGTATGTATCAATAAGAGAAAAAGCCAAAAAAAAAAAAAAGAAAAAAAAAAAATAAAAAAAAAATTCATCTTCACTGTCACTGGCATAAAAACCTTGGTCCTTAGGTACACCCCCAGTGCTGGTCGGGTGGCTGACGAGTGACCTTATTGACTTGGTTTTTCTTGCCTTTCACAGTTGATAAGGGTGAGATTTTCCCGCACTTCCTTGCCCTTTGATAAAATTCACTCTTGATAGATGCAAGATGATGGTATCAGCAGTTATAACAAACTTTTGAAAGACTACCTATTTGTGTATATTTTTGAAGGAGGAAGTCAGCTGTTGGTATTCAAGACTTTTATTCTTTCTTTTCTTTTTTCTTTTTGTTTCTCTATTCTTCTTCCTCTTTTTCTTCTTCCTCTTCCTCTTCATTATTTCTTTTACTTTTTGTTTTATGTATTTCCTGTTGACTGCTGTGCTCTACATGGAAATGCCAAGAACCCTCACTAACTCTTTCATCCAGGCACATGCTGCTGAATTTTTGTGGAATTTGTTCCTTTTAACTCCGTGATCTTTTATTTCTGTTCTCGTGTATCTCATCATATGATCTACAGTTTATTGATCTGTGTCACTCGACTTGCCTTATGTTATTAGATTTAATGTTACCGAGTCATCTTGTGAAACTTAGACCTCTCTCGTAGATAGATAAGTGCTTTTTTTTTTTCTTCTTCTTCTTCTTCTTCTTCTTCTTCTTCTCTGGTACTTAGAGCAAGTATTTAGATGTTCAGCAGTCTATCCGATTTTAAGAAGTGAAGGTAGTTTACTGAGACGAGAGCTGGCAAGGGGCAAGAAGAAAAAAATAAATGGTTCTCAGAGAGCATTCTTAAAGAAATTCTATAGGTAGAGTTCTCATATTTAAATGAATGTTTGTTAGATAATGTATCTTATACATTGTATTACAGTCTGAGAATTTCATGCAAGTTGCCAGTTTTATTATAGAAATAGTCAACCTCTACATCTCCAGCCCGCTAATATATTTATTATTATTTAGAGAGGAAAGAAAAATTGCAGTGCATTGTTGAAATTGGTAATTGAATTGTTTAATCTGTCAGAGTAGATAAGACAGATTCCTATTCTAAACAGTTATATATCTGAATAAAATTTCTTAACTATACTCTTAACTATAAAGATACCCACTGTTTCTCTTTGTTGAAGCTTCTTCATTTTCGTATGATAAAACCTGCTTTGTTATTGCAGGCATAACAGTTATATATCTGAATAAAATTTCTTAACTATACTCTTAACTATAAAGATACCCACTGTTTCTCTTTGTACCGTAGAGCAGATATAAAAGAAGCAATATAGTCACCATTTACTGTATTCTTTTGCTTGTTCAAATTCGTCATGTCACTGGTGATTGATGGGGGGTCAACCAGTAGGTGACAGGACAGCATCATGAAAACAGATCATATTCTGTTCTTGGATAAATCCCTAAGTCATTATATACATTGAACCCACCGATTTCATTCCCCTGAGAATACTTGTCCCACTTTTGGTTCTTTGCATGTTGGTATGATGTTCAAACGAAACAGTTATTCTAGATATCTATTTTACTGTTCATGTTGAAAGAGTTGTTAAAACTTTCTTTATGTCTAGGGTTTATGCTGTGTAATTTGCATTATGTCTATATATGTAAAAATGTAAAGTAATGAAGGGCATTGCGTGCCTTTTCCCCTTCATATTTTCACCAGAATGCACTTATAATTACTCAGAGCAACAAGGAGATAACTAATAATAACAACAACAAAAAAAAACACTATAGGAATGTTGGAAATGTTATAGGTGTTGCATTATGTTTTACATTTGTTACATCTTTGGCAGTGTGCTGAACAAAGGACGGCTAAGAAAATGCGTGTTTTCACACCTCCTCCTGGCCCTCCTGATGGTGGTGAAGATGGTTCCGGACTTTCTCGACAGATTGGACATATTCGTCCTAGAAATTGAGGAATTAGAAGTTCCACAGGTATTTATCACCCAGCTAAATGATAGTACTGATTCTTTTTCTCCCAGTTTGGATTAACTTTCTCATCACTATATTAATGAACTGATAACTTAAAATTATTATGCATTAAAGTATAAAGAATTTTTTTGATGATCTTTCGATGATCTTTTCAGCCTCTCAAATGGGAATACGTGTGGCTTGTAGGATCCCTTGCCAGTTTCCTAGGCTTGATGGCGATCAGAAAAAACAGAGTATTGCTTCTACAGGTAAGCAACTTTAGTTCATAGTTTCATGGTTGAAAAAAAAGAGGGATGGAGAGGGAAAGGAGGAGAGAGGGGAGTGAGGCAGGGAGAGAGCGGGATATGGAGAGGGTCAGTGAGGGAGGAGATTAGGGGGGGGGGGGGAGTGTATAAGAGGTAGAGAGAGGAAGGAAGTGAAATGGGAAAGGAGGGGGAGAAGAGTGTGTGTGTGTGTGTGTGTGTGTGTGTAAGAGAGAAATGTATACACAAAACCCCATTTTACATTACAAGGTTCACTTCATTTTTTCATTTTAACCTCCTATTATTGTCTTATGTTTGCCTTCATTTTCCAGATATACTTTGGTCTTATCAACCTCTTCTCAACGGTGCCCATTCTCTTGGCTGCCATGATCTATTTCTCCGAATTCCTTAAGTACTGCACTGAGGAGGAGCCTGCAGGTCTACAGCTGTGGCAGGTTGGTGTACATATAAGGCTTTGGGATATCTTAACCCTTTGGTCACAGATGGCATGGTGTTAGCAAAGGCTATGATGGACCGAGTTGCGAATGCCACTACATTGTGACGTACCTTCTGCCGATGGCTCATTGGATGGTGCTTGTCTTTCTCTGATAGTAGTGACGTTTGTTTGATGTCACTAATAGAACCAAGCACTTAGTGGGAAGGAAAACCTTAACTTTACTTTTTTTTATATGAAATAGAAGTATAAGCTATTAGGTGCCCAGTGTTGTCTATAAATTCCCGAACGAGCCGTACCCAAATGGGGGAAACTACCAATGCACGCCACCACCCCCACGTTGCTGGCCACTTGCCAATTTTCAATTCAGCAAATAATGGGTTAAGGAGTATGTGTTTGAGTGAAGGAAAGAAATTGACTTGAGTATGGCGACATTAGCAGGAGTTTGTTTGGTTCAAAAGCAGGTATTATGCAAAGAGGCTCGTGAAATTTCTGTGCAGATCTCACAAGTGGAAATAATGTCCATAGGAATTGCCGAAGGTGAGTACAAATTTTTTGGTAGTTGGCTGTCTTGGTCACTCAAAATTTCCTTTATTCATCTGTAAACCTATTGGCACCCAGTAATTGTACTGTTTGCAGTAGTTTTGTGAATTTTATTTCATCATCACGGAGTCGGTTAGTAGGCTACCCGACTTCATCTTGTATCTTAGTTACTTGAAATTTGAATAACATTTATTTTTTCTGATGCTATTAACCCCATGCCACCGAGAAAATGTTGTGTTCACTTTAGTATTATTTTATTAAATATTTCTGCCCATAGACGGCTCTCCCAGTGCTTAGCCACAAAGCAGTCAATTAGTAGATCTTGTGACCACACCTTTCCTTGAAATAGCAGGAAAATGTTGTTGTTTTTTACTTACGCTATTAATATTGATAATGTTTTTTGTTATAAACATTATAATTACTATTTTATTGACATTTCTAACAGCTTTATTAAATACTAGAAAATATTATTAAAAATCAAGAAAAAGGGTATTCATGTGAGAAGAGGTACTTCTTGTAAATGGCTCATTGGTGACCTAGTACTTATGGAACCATCTATGTGTAAAAGCAATTAATAAAGTAAACACATAGTGGGAATGGCATATGCACATGTGCCATCCCCAGCAGCATGTGGTTAATATCATCACTGATAATTTGGTAGGTAATATTGACATTGGGATTGTTTTAGTGTTATTATCAGTGCTATTGATAGATGAGAATACAGTTCTTAAAATGTAGAAAAAGGGTTAAGAGTTGAAATCAGGAGTCTAGTAATTAACTCATGGGTGACAGTGGACAGGGCTTGCATGTACTTGCCAGCCCAATAGCAATGTGGTAAGTGTGGTGCTGGGAGAAATGGGGCATTCTTTAGAAGATGCCTACAACTTCAGAGTGATTTTGTTGTACAGTTCACAGCAGGATATAGAATCCTAAGTGGCAACTCGCTTCCTGAACTGATTGCCTTATTTTCTTTCTCTCTTCCTTTTTTAAGTCTTAGGTAATTGATATTCATACAAACAGCTGTAGGAAGTGGTTCTATTCATTTGGTTGAATTGTTTATAGATACAAAAAAAAAGATAAAAATGAGGCAACAATAATGCAACACACAAGACAAATGCAGCATTCTGTGTAATAAAGTAGCGCAGCTCGCTGAACTTGTCTATTCGTGACGCTAACATCTCCCAGTGTGTAGTCATCTAGAGGGATGCCAGCAGGAGATCAGCTTCACCTTATACAAGCATTTATCAAAAATTGCTGAAAATGAAATATTGTCAATATGATTGCACATTTGAATAGAATTTATGACAGATATTAGCGGGAAACAAGAGTCTGTCATTTCTGATTTGATGAACAGTGTTCGCATGGGCCCTAACCTACAGTTTTTTAAAATGTAAGTATGGTACAGTAGTATAACAATTGAATTAGATGCTTGCATAAATATAGGCCCAGTGCCATTGGGAATGGCATGTACAGATATGCCATGCTCAAAGTGAGTTTGTTTATTAATTTTATTTGAACATAGATGGCTCCACAAGTACCTAAGCAACAGTCACACTAGTCACGCATGGCCAGGGATTCTGAGACAGGCACACTGAATGTCAGTCAAGTACAGGATGGATTGGTCAGTGTCCCCCCTTAGAGCAACATCATCCCACAAAAGACCAAAGTGTACAGTAACTGCCTAAATGAACTGCATATTGAAGATAGTCGTGGACTCTGAGTATCTTACATATTGACTGAAAAGTTTCAAGAAAAGCCAGTCCACCCGCTTTGTGGCGTAACGGTAGCATTCTCATCTAGCAGTCTTGCTAACCCGTGTTCAATCACGCATGCTGCCAGTGGATAATCCCGGCCATTCCTTGCACAGGGGGTAATTTAGAAGCCAAATTAACAAACACCCTGTCACTGCAAAGAATATCCATCGTAACAAACAGAATTAAACTTGAGTATAAATTACAATTATAGATTAGTTGTCATACATCATATAGCAGTGCCAGCTGCCTTGATAGCTCATATTTAACCCACTTATGACGGGTGTCCCACATATGAGACACCCAGAAGAAAAAAAATTGACGGGCCAGTGTGAAGCTGTATCGGGGCTCACGCTCCAACTCAGCAGTGGGCCACGGGGCAGAGTCCGGGCCAGCCCCGCGTCCCGATTTTGTAGCCTTCCGGAAACTTTTATTTTCAACTTCAAAACATACCGGCGGCAATGGGTTAGATATAATTAGAAAGTCCAACAAATACCATTAGTGTTATCAGTGATGTAGATACGAGACATAATTTTGGACTAATAACTATAAAGTTAGGAATTTGAGTGAAGTGTTAGCATTTGTTGATTGTGGCACTGCCTTGCTAGCCATACAATTATGCCCCATGCGAACCAAGGTCTCTTGTTGATTTCATCCATTTATTATTTTCTGTTAGCCTGATATTGTGGCTGATATTCTGTAATTATATAAGGTTTTACCTTCTATATTAACACTGGTCTGTACTGGTAAAACTAGTTTTCCCTCTGTAGCCCAACACTGCAGTTCTCATTTGGTGCTGCACTAGGCAGGGATTTTCATATCAGTTCCCCTCACAGCCGAGGAAGTTCCCACTCTGTAAAGGGATCCCCAGGCAGACAAGACTAGTGTGACCATTTTTCTACTTGTGACAATCACAGGTTTTACCTGTCTTAATTGTTTACCCTTTACCTTGATTTTTGGTAATGTTTTATTTTATATTGCTATTAGTATTAGTAATAACATTATAATGTTATAGTGTTAGTAATAAAATTAACAGCATCAGTATCAATAACTTTAGAAAAATCAAGGAATGGGAAAATCAGGTGATGGCATTTACACCACTAATTGACACCTTGATGGCTGAGCACTTGTGGAGCCATCTATATGTAGGTATTTCACAAAACAATACAGTGAACATTGCATTTTCCTGGTGGCATTTGGTAAATAATTCTGTATTGATATATGAATGAATGCTAAATAAGGCATAATTGGAATAATGACTTGAACAATTTAGGAAGTTACCATGTTGCCAGTTATATGTTCTGCCTATAACCTGCTACAGAATATCCTAAGGAATTGAGAGTTTCAAACAATTCTGAACTTTATTATAAATTGCGGTCCAGGACTCCCTTCCCGTCACTTTGATCCTTCATTGGTTCAGGAAGTGTCCAAGAGTGTAGTACTTTTCCATTTTATATATAAGATATAGATAAGATATAGATCCATTTACATAGTGTTTTTCTCTATTTCTAGGGATACTTTCCTTGTTTCCAAAGACTTTTTAGATGCAAATAGGGCTCTTTTTTATGAAATTAGTCTGGTTTTGACTTCATACTTGTTTTAGTTTTGCACCAAGTTCACTAAACTCTAGAAATAATCTATTTTAAGGTTGTTTCATTGAAAATTATTTTCACGTTCTACAGTATTTCACTTTATGCCAGCCAAAAATTCTTTCTGGTGAGCTAGACAAGAGTTATGAAGAAGGGATGGACTAAGGATGGTCGGGAAACCAGACAGAATTTATGAAGCCCAAGCTGCCCAGATTTCATGCCTTGTACAATATTTTTGAGTGGTCTGTTTTACAATAGAGGCCCAGTCATTCTCAGTCCATTCCTGGTGGAGAAAGGGATTGGGCTGAACCAGTTCTTTTATCTGAAAGACAGTGTGTACATGTAGGTGTGGCTATGTTAGTATACATATGTATACACACGTACATAGCCATACTTATTTTGAATGATTATTTAAGATAGATCAATTTACATAGTATTTTTCTCTACTTCCAGGGATATCCTGTTGCTGTCCTATGGTACAGCTTCATCATGATAGCAATGCAAGTCCATATCTTCACCCTCATTTTCGCATGGAAGCTCATTCTGGCATGGAAGAACCGTGGAGCAGCAAAGAAGGGACAATAGATCGACAAATCAAAATCACATATTGCTATACAACCTGAGATTACATAAGCAAGCAATATCGCCATTATTGGTGCTTCTGTAATTCCTCGTCTTTACATTGTTGGCTGCTTGTACCACAGTATGTGTATCCTAGATTAATTTTTCTGAGTGGATACAGCTGTGTTGTATTAGCAGACAGTGTACTTCATATGCAATTTTGTTTTTGTTTTTCTCTTCTTTTTTATGTAAATGTGTAACTTTTATCCATGGAAAATTTAAATTGTTTTAAAATTGCTGTGTTGCATCTCGTAATGGGATATAATCCTTTTTTCTTCTTCTTTTTTTAGTTTTTTTTTTTCATGCAATTTGATATTAGAAAAAGTATTAAATTTTGTTTCTTATTGCTCTTTACTACAACAGTTGTTTAGGAGATAGCCAAATTTATAATTGTTACAGTAGGAAAAAAGGGGACGAACTGCGAATTAAGTCTCCATTTCTACAACTGGAAATGCATTTGTACATCTGAATAATGTACAGCTGACTGAACATCTATTGTAGTAAAGGCAACTTCACTGGGAGAAAGGTATTCTTTTCATCATGGTTTTCTTTCATTTTTTCTTTCTCTTTTATTTATATGTATATTTGTTTCTCCAGTCTTCATTATATGTTTTTTCTTATGATATTATTTTTTAGAATTAAAAGTTGCCATTATACTGTATTGAAATGTTGATTGTTCAAGTGCTTTGGTCTGTTAAATAAAAAAACAAAAACTTTTTTTTTCTCTCTTTTTTTTCAAATTCTAGAATATGAGGAAGCTGCACAGGGTAAAATGTTGCAGAATGACATGTTGAGCGTTTAAAAAATTGCGGTTGTAGAATAGCATTCATATGATGAGAACTTGTAGTTTTATATCAGAAATAAAAGTGACATTTCCGTGATATTTTTACAATGATGCTTCACCTGAACAAAGTATCCAGTGTAGCTTTTTTCAGACGTTTCATAATATCCTCACCTTGTTATTGTTATCTTGATGATTGTTAATTTTCATATGTATTTCCTTGTTATTGCATTTCAAAACATATCATTATTTTTTTTTCTCTTTTTTTCTTTTTCCCCATTAGCATAATTGTGACATCTCTTCATACCAGTAAAAATCCATCATCTAAACTAGATTTTATTTGTGCTTTTTCACTGTGAATATCTTTCATGCCCATCCTCTTCGCACACGAGACGACAGAGGGAGCATTTCATTAACACATAAAGAAAAAAAATGGAGTTTTGCCTTTTCTCTATCCTCCTTGTTTTTTTCTGTTTTTTTTGTAATGTGCCTTCCAGTTATGTGAATTCATCTAGGCCTTTTTTTTTTTAATATATATACAAAGAAAGAAAATGGCCTATTTCTATGCCATGTCTGGTAACAGTGCCAAATACTTGGGCATTGTCTCATTGCCAAGTATTTTTATGACCTCCCCTTTTATAATGATATCACATACTTGAGTGTTTCTGTTAGGTTGGTAATTGTTAACTTTTTGGATAGTCTAGCTCCTTTTTGTGAAATATGCCGTCTTACCATTTGTTGTTTTTACTTGAATGTTGTCGATTCGATCATGGATTTTCATACGTTGTCATTTTACGTTACGGTTGATTATTGGGGTAATGTCTTGGTTTTGTTTTTACCTCTTTGTCTTAATCTTTTCTCTTATTTCTTCTTTTTTTTCCATTCTTTCTCTAACTTTGGTAACATGGATGTATTTTCTTGTCTATTTGTGAATGTGATATTCTAAGCTCTCAATTGCTTTTGACGAAGAACACAATTTGCAATTAGGAATTAACTGGATCACATGCGATACCTGAAAGAAATTTGTTACAAAGAGAACTATTGTGTGTTGCCCTAGTTCCATTAGACGTTCACGTGTCCATCCTTCATGCATGAACATTTTCTCCTCGTTAGTGAATAAAGACTCATGTTTAGACAAATAAGTAATACTATTACCTATATTTTCCCTGACATTTGATAAACTTTTGTGTACGTGTATTTTGCAAGTCAAGAGGAATAATAGTTTCATACTAGGAACTATAGGAAATTTATTTTCAGATGAAATCCTTGAGAGGGGGATGTACGTACTTTTTTTTATCATATGTAAATATCAAGAAAATGGCTACCAAAGAAAAGACATTTTTTTCATGATTACTTTTATGCATATTAGAGACCTGTTTAGAATCAGTATAAAAGCATAATTCACCGACTATCTGAACAATCATGTACATACAAATTAATGGTGCCTGTTACAAAACTTAGTATGTATGTTGTGAAATCAGAGAATAGATAACTATTGAAATAATAGGCATAATTTGAACATGGATACGAAGCCAGAAAAGATGGAGAGCTGCCAGGATAATATATTCAGATCTCATTCCTAATGTGTTCATATATTTTTAAGTTAACAAGCTGTGTTATAGAGAGCAGAAAATGAGAACGCACAAAGATATGATCTTGATACTATATATGAATTAGTAGGAAATGCCATTTAGAGAACATAGGATAATTTTTTTTCAGTCGAGTTCTTCAAAAGTTATATTGTTGCAACTTAAATTATAATGTGACATTTATAGACTGGAAATGTACCATGAAGCCATGTTAAGTACTTATACCAGTATTGTTCACAGGGTTCTGAAGGTATATTTTTTTTCTTATCTGATATAATGATGTGAACTTAAAAGGTTTTAGAAATAAAGTTTATGATGTATGAAATATCCAATTTCATTTATTATCCAGCATCTAAAAAGGGGGAATATTAAGTGTTGGTAAATACACAATGTAGACTAGATAACCAAATCTGATACACTCTACATAGTCTTTTTAGTCACTAGTGTATGTATGAGGACGGATAAAAAAAATATTGAACCTTTGGCTGTAAATCAAAATCTTACCTGTTGAAATGAGAAAATCTATTCAAAATTGACCTCCTGGATCTCTGCATACCATGCTGAGTGGTCATCTTTTTTGTTTATCTTTTAATCATCAGTTATCCTAAATCTCATTTTAGGGGTGGCATAAGTTCTCGTATCTAATTTTATTGCATTATTTTTTTAAAGAGGGGAAGGATGAATGTCATAATAAAGATGCCAACAATTCTTGTCTTTTGCGACACACAGCATCCCAAATGCGATGCAGAACTCCCAAATGATATTCCCTCTTGGTTGTGTCACCTTCTGGAGCATTCTCGCAGTTGAAGGGAAATGCAATTTTCGAGGATATTGATAAAAGGCCTCGAAACCCCCCTATTCCCATGCTGGCTGTTATCGTGGGGCGCTTAGGAGACGAGGACTGAGGCCCAGTGAAGATCACCTCCACCTTGAGCATCAGTCCTTGCCTCAACTAATTTTGCATGGTCTTTTCTTCTCCACCTTTCTTCTTCATCCCCTTCTGTCCACATCCTAAAGTGTGAGAGCCGTGCTGAAAGGATGAAAGGCTGGCTTTGTGTCATCTTGAATGGCCTTCATCCTCCATTTGCTATTCCTTTATCATTTTCACTACCATACTAACCTACAGCACTCTCTACATACTTTCTGTTGTGTTTTTTTTGTGTGTGTGTTTTTTTGTGTTTTTTTTTTTGTGTTTGTCTCTCTCACTCACTCTCACACTCTTCACTCTTCACTCTCACTCACTCAACTCACTCTCTCACTCACTCACTCTCTCACTCACTCACTCACTCCTCACTCTCACTCTCTCTCTCTCACTCTCTCTCTCTCTCACTCACTCTCACTCACTCACTCTCTCACTCACTCATTCTCTCTCTCCTCACTCTCCTCTCTCTCTCTCTCTCAATGTCTAATTTTGCAAAGAAAATGTGGGAGTGTAGTCCTTGAGTGGGGGGGATAACTGCCCTGCTGCACCACGCACGCACGCACGCACGCACGCACGCACGCACGCACGCACGCACGCACGCACGCACGCACGCACACACACACACACACACACACACACACACACACACACACACACACACACACACACACACACACACACACACACACACACACAAAAGAACATAAAAGAGGCAAGTTGAATTGTCACTCGCACAGAGGAGGATTTACCTGTGCTCGAAAAAATTGCTTTCAATGGTATTATATGTCATGTTGAATCATATTTAACATATTTAGAATTAAAAAGAGAAAAAGTAAAAAAGTGAGATGATGATGTTTATGTTAAGTTAATACAATTAATAATGACATAGTATTTTATTAATCAACCTCTTTCATTCTCTCTCTACTTTTAGCGTATGGTTTCATGTTACAGGTAAGGCTTAGTATCCGTCAGTAAGGTGTGAGAATTTTTTTTATATATTGTAAAAGATAAAAGATTCACATTAATTATATACTCATATTATGGATAATATAATCTCATTAATAAATTATTCATGAATTTGTTTTATATTCATATTTCATAATTCAGCATCTGTGACTCTGCTAATTAGGTATTTTCTTTCAAGAAGTTTTTACTTATAAAGGCCATGTGGAAGTAACGTTAGTGCAAAAGAAAAATAATATATTCATTCAACTTGCTCTATATTAGAGAAAATAAGAATCCATGTTAAAGAGTCACACTAACTGGAAAGGCTGGAGAAAAGAAAGAAAATTAAAGAAAAAATTCTTTCTAGGACTGTAGACAAATTATTGAAATTCTTTGAAAATTAATGGTATTGATCAGTAACACCTTAGACTTTGAGGTGTGACTAATCATTAATAATAATTTTCTCTTCTTTTTGTAATATTTTGAATTGATTTTTTTCTCTCAAGAACTTATTATTTTTAATAAACTGCATGTTCTAATTTTTTTATTTTCCTTCTGGAGTCAAAATATTTTCCAGGGCAAATGATTCCGTGGTCCAATACTTTTTCTAGCCCTGTTAACTGGCTCAGTTTGCAAAATCTTTTTAATCTTGTCCTCTTGATCTCAACGTTTCCGAGTGAGACACTTCAAAGGACATACAAACACCATCGAGAGTTTAAGTCGAATCATCTTATTTAGAATAAATAAATTGAGATAATAAATGGTGGAATAAATATTATAAGGAAAACAACCTAAATTATATTTTTCTTGTATATTTAAATACCAATGAGTCAACGGCCAGGTACAAATACAAATAAAGATGTACATTACTATGGCTGTGAAACATCTTAATTACAAAGGGCTGTCAGAGAAGCCCATTTCCAAATATTTAAGATTTATCCCAAGCTGAAGTTACTTGTACAGTAAATTTTTTTAAATGGACTTGAAGTGAGATGTAACAGGAAGCACAAGCATTATACAAAAATATAATTACAAGATGATAAGGTACCTAAAACTCAAGGTAGAGGTAATGCACCGGATCCCTTCAGTCAATACTGTTCCCAAATCAAGATAAAATGTGAACTTATGCCATTGATAATACAATAACAAGGTTTGTGATTCTCTAAAAAATAGAAAAAAAAAAAAAAAAAAAATCATACAGCACTATGCAAGTTCCTAAAATGGCTTTCATAAGTCTGCATACCTGGTCCAGCTATCTCGTAAACTGAGTGTGTATAGGTAAATCAGGTGGAACATATACCTGGTAGGATATATTATTACAGAAGCCTAGTCATTTCTTCTCCACGACCCTTTCTCGGTTCTTTAAACAGTTTCAGTAAAGGAAGTTGTCATTTATTTGTCTCAGTCTATACAAAATATGAAATATTAAATAACAATAAAAATAATGACAGTAGAAGTAGTAGCTTTTTTTTTTCTTTTTTTTCAGCCTTTTTTTTATGTTTTTTGTTATAAATGTATACGCATAGTTGTAGATGCAGGAAGTAATAATGACGATGATGATGATGACCATACTAAAGAAATAACAATAATTAATAAACAAAGTAATCCCAGAAAACAATGCTACAATTAACAAAATAACTTACTATCATCACTACTTCTCTCCATCGTTACTACTACTATTATATCCACTATCACTTTAATTTTACTTTTCTTTGGGTGGGGAGGAGGGGAGTTGGGGGGAAGGAAATTAAATAAGATTAAAAATATATACTAAACAAAAGTATGCCGACTTTGGTTTATCTGGAAATGTAAGGCTCCTTAAAGACAAGAGCTGGCATAGTGCTTAGATTGGTCTCTTTCTACAATTCATCTGCAAGATTGTCAACCAAATACAAAGCCCACCTAGGACACGAATTCTTAAATCACCCGATAATTCTGTTCTCAATCTTCAACTGCAATTTTATTTTTTTTTTTTTTTTTTTTCGTCAAATATAATAATGAATTTTGTTTTAGATTTTTATTCTTTTTCTTTTGTTCTTTAAATGGGATTTATCACCTTCCAGAAAATGTTGCCTCTCTTCATTATATATATATATATTTTTTTTTTTTTTTTTTTTTTTTTTTTCGTATTTCCCAAGACATCCTGGCTATGAGGTGGTATTTGAATCAACAACAACTATACCTTGATTATAAACTTACTCATTCTACTTGGTAGCATAGACAATGTTCAGCAAATAGTCTTTATCACAGGCTGGTTAACATCTGCAGCTGTCATGGGTTGATGCGGATATTTCGAAAGTCTCCTCATCGGGAACAACACCTACATCTCGATAACCAGCACCTATACACATTATTTCCTGAACATATAAAAATTCACCACTTACTGCTAATGTTATGACTTCTCTATCGGTAGTTTGTACTCTTTGACTTGACTGTAAATGATTATTACTGTAGGGTAAGAATTATTGCTAACTCACTGATTACCAATTTTTTTTTTTTTTTTCTATCTTGTAATAGTTATGTACTTTTTTGTATTTTTGCATTTATTATTATCTTTGTAGCTCTTCTGGGGCAATTTTATACTTTTCACTATATGATTCCTAACAAAAATCGTAGTAAAGCAGTGAGATTATTGTTGGAAAAAAAAGAAAAAAAGAGAGAAAAAAAAAAAGAGTGATTTAAGAACCCCACCCCAGTTCACATGTCGAGTGGAATGTCTCAAGCAAGAGGAGAATTAAGGTTGATGGAGAGGGGAAGAGAAATCACCGTTTCACACGACCACCACTCTGGAGTCTTACCTGAAAATTTAGAAGATCTCTCTTACTCTGAATAAATGTTGCCTGAATTTTGCCCATCTGACTTATAATATTTCGTGACAAAATCCAATTTCCAAGTAAGGCTCACATAATCTGATCCTGTCATATAAGATCAAGGTGCACTGCTGGACCTTGACATATTTTATATGAATAGATGTATTATGAACCACAGATTTCCAAAGGTTTGATTTACATATTACAATAGAGGAATTCACATAAAACCATATTCCTGTTCATCATTTTGTCAGTTTGTATCTTCTGATGTGAACACTTTAGGCTCATAATGACAGGTCAACATATAAGATGTCTCGTAACCTTCACCTGTTGAGATCCGTTTGCAAAATAAACTTATTCATAACAATTCCATAAAGAAATGAACTGGTAAATGCTGTAATCAACATCATTCAATACACTTAAAAAAAAGAAAAAGGAAAAAATTCACAAAAAGGACAATCTACCAACTCATTTAAGGATATGGCATAGAGAACATCACTATGGGCAGGCAGCTGAACAAAATTTAACAGCATTTACGACTAGATGTTAATCTTTGTATTCAACCTTTCCTTCTTGCATCTAATAGAATAGCAATCTTACCAATACTGGACTTTTTTCTTTTTTTTATACACATTATTTACGGTGGTTCA